TAGCCAGATGGCCACACAGAACGTGACTTTCTCCTGCTAATGTGCAGGTGAAATGCAACACTTCAAGAGCTAATTTACCTTAGAATTTATTTATTTCATTTATATATATATATATATATATATATGTATATATATATATATATATATATATATATATATATATCTTGCTTAAAGGGAGAGTATATATTTTAAGTGGTCGTTATGAGAAGCAGTGAGTAATAGGGAGTCGCTATCTTAGGTGCAACAGAAAACTGTTGGAACAACCTCAGTCTGAAGAAACAGATTAGTTCTCATCAGAGTTAAGCTAAAGCCGCTCTGTGTGCATACATAAATATGTGCTACATCGTTCTAAGTGTGAGAACATGAAGTGAATTTGCGCAACTTTCGCACTTGTGGACATTGTGAAGGTAAGTGATGCACAACAACAGCAGTATGAACCTGAACCAACAGATGGATGTCCAAAATCGAGTGAAAACCCTTCAGATTTGAATTCAGAAGATCAGGCCTAAGTAAAACTTTTCACTTACCGTTTCTTCTCCAACAAATCCAGTTTGCCACGAGATCTGTCAACTTTAGGTAACATACAGGCTGAACAACCTTTCTACAGAACCTCGCTTGGAAAAAGTTCAAGGCATCTCTTGAAGTTGGAGGGTTACAGCCCTGCTGATCTTTCATTTATTGGATGGTGTGATTTGCTTCTTGGCTGCACCAGTTAGACAGCAGCAGCCTTTTTTTTTTTTTTATTGGCTCCCATCTCCAAGTCAGTTTGCAGAAGCTGATATCTCAGTGGCACTGATGGTTACATAACCATGAGATAAATTAACATCAGGGTGCTGGCGGGATTTCACAGATTGATTGTTTATGCTCATCATACTGTGTCGTGTCGTTATCTGATTTCTAAATACCCACTGCCTCACCTGTCAGTAGAGGAGATAGAAGGAGGCTCCTGGCCCAGTCAGAGTCAGGTGAATGTGGGGTCACAGCCATTTTGCCGTCAGAATGAGGAGACTGATGAAGACTAGTGTCATGAAGATGGATCAGATTTAAACACACGCGCACAAACACGCACATGGTGTTGCTTACACACTTGATCACAAATTTTTTGCACATATTCATGCTCAATTTTTCTTCTCTGTTTACATGACTTAAACCTATACTTGAATATGAACTACCTCTGTTTTTTTTTTTTTTTTTTTACTTCATTCTCTCTCTTTTTCTTTATTGTACACACACGCGTGCGCGCAGGCACATGCACGCACCCACGCAGACTCGTACACAGTGTTAGACTGACAGTAACAGGTTGTCGGCAGGGTGAGGGGTGATGTGACTAATGTCCAGCTCATTTATCTGCAGCCTGTGATGTGAGTCTCACTGGGGTTGAGTCCACATGCTAAAGTTTCTCAAACAAACACGCTTTGTGTTGCATAAACATCGGCGTGGCCGAAGTGATCGTATTTTTACCACAGCCAGTGCAGAAGCATCCAGGGAAACCTGTCGTCTATTACACAAAATGTATCATCAGTTTATGCCTTTCTTAAACATAAGGTTGGTAGCATTTATAGAACCCAAATTTCAAATAGGCCACAAGAGAATTATTCAGTCAGTCGTTACTGAGGAAGGAAATCTTTGCAAGCTACAAATATCTTCTCAAGTTTAATTGAGTCTAACTTTTATATATGTAATAATAGAGAACTCTTGAGAGTTTAAATGTAACCATTTGAACATGCTTGGTCTAATAAAGTTTAATTTTTCCCTATTTTATTTTGTGGTAATTGCCTTCTTTACAGGGCCTTGCACAAGAATGCATACCACTTTATTTTTTTTACAGTCTTTAAAACCATTTAATAGGTTTCAATGGGTTGATCCTCCGCCTTTATAGCTTCTGGAATAGTGGATATTAGCGATTGGGTAAAATTGAAAACTGCAACAGAGTCTACGCCTCCAGGAAGCGATTGTTTTTCGATAGCTGAGACCCCAGACCCTCTGTACGAAGCAAAGTGTGGTACAAGGGCCTTTTACCAGGCTAGGTCAATATCGAAATGAATTATTAGTTTACCTCTGTTCTTTATCTGAAGCAGTGACAGTGACAAGAGCAGTCTAATGTGCTAGTAAAGGTAATTAGAATCCATTTCTTCAATTTATCTGTGAAAGATAAAGTTTGCATAAAAGCTATCATAGCTTGTTAGCATAGTTAGCGCATTACAACGGGTGGAAAAGGGAACATGAGATTAAAATATCTACCAAAAGTAAGATCAGTTTAGTGTAAAATAAAACACAAGAAATGGCCCAGTTAAGACAGATTATGGCATTTTTTCCAGTTAATTATAGATCTTTTCCCATCTAATTATAGATCTGTAACACAACTTGCTGAGGACAAGAAGTTAGATATATGCCTTTCCACTACATGTAACGTGGAGTTGCTTATAATCTACATGTTGATTTTTGCCAAATGACAACCATTTTGTTTGCGAACACGTATTTGTTTTGGTACTGGAGTTACTAAGGCTATTGCTGTAAATTAGCTTTGAAAAGCAGAGGGCTTGCAGTAGATTTATTTTTATTTTTTTTTCTAACTGAAAACTTACAAGATAAAAAGCCATCTGCTGATCTATGCCCATTTGATTTAACTTCTCGGTAAAGTGCATCCCAGCAGACTGAATCGTTCTTTTGAGTTATTCGGATACATGCTGTTATTGACGTATATGTTCAGAGTGGTCACACAGAGAAACACACAGTAATTTATCTTGACACACAGATGGCCCCTGCTCTGACCACAAATGTAGTGTAACCTCTGCTCCCTGCGGTGTGGGCAGGACTCAGGCTGCCAGTAAAAACGAGGGATGCTTCATGGCTCAACAATTCGCTAGCTAAATGGAAAGGTTTTGCTGTGTGACCTGAAACTCTCTCCCCTGTGCCTCTTTTTTTCCATTCTTTCTATATCTCATTTGCTCTTTTTTTTTTTTTTTTTTTTGTCCACTCCTGATTTTGCTGTCAAAGTAAAAGTCAGATCTTTTGAGTCCTATTGCCTTATCTTACGATTCTGAATGAGTACTAAGTGGAAGCACAGGGTCACTGAACAACTACGATCAGCAACGCGTTTCTTTTTATTTTTGCACGTTATGTAGTGATGCAACTCTAGTTTAACAAGAAGAGTTACCTTTATACGACTGTACATGTTTTTCAGCACTGGAGAGATTTACAGGGTTAACTTTTACCTACCTTTGTACAGATTGATATGGGAGCTTATGTCAAATTGATGGATTTAATACGTTTAAAAAAAAACAAATCCTGTTCAGATTTTTTTAAGAAGTTGAGAATCACATGTTCTCATGCGTTTCTTGTCCAAAAGCCAAACAATGTATGTTTCATAGTGGGGATAATGTTCTCATTTTTGAGATGTAGGCAATTCTTTATTTTCATCTGGTCAACGCATATCCTTTCAAATGTCTGCTGTGTCACCTGCATGACTTGTGGCAGACTTTACATAAGACTACTTAAAGATCTCTTGCAGCAATGGCTTTCTTCCTCCCACTCGCCCATAAAATTAATATTTGTGGAGTGCATATCTAATAGTTGCCAACAGATTTTCCCACCTGAGCTTTGGATCTCTGCTGTTTCTCAAGAGTCACCATGGACCTCTTGGCTTCCTCGCTGAGTAATTAAATCCTTGCCTGGATGACAGCCATGTCTTAGTAACTTTGCAGTCGTGCCATACTCTTCTGTTCAGATTACGGACTGAACAGTTCTTAAAGTACTTTTAAAAACCAAACCCTACATTTTACATAGCTTTCTCCTTGACATGTTTGCTGTTGTCAGCATTTTCTGGTGTATTTTGGACTTTGGCAGTTTGTTTACTCGATTTCCATTTAGTCTTTCTACCTGTCAAAAACAGCAATTTGCACAGTAGAGCTGTTATATATGTTCATTTGTTCTAACTTTACATTTCTGTATAATTTTGTGGCACTTTGTGAAAGTGATGCTTGCGATGTATGTACAGTTATTTTTTCCTCTGATCAGTTTGCTCTATGCCATGGACAGGTTGCGTCTGCCCAGTGACTGCTGGAGACAGCCGTTAGCCCCCTGCAATCCTTCCAGGATCAGTGGGTATAGACGGTGAATGGTTGCACTGATGGATGGTTAGCTCAACCATTAATAAATAAATATTCCCCTCCATAGCTTTTTCTCTCCTGTAACAAAATGTGGCATCCCCCACTTGGGATTATACCTCAGCTCATGATTAAAAGCCTTTTGTGTTGTATGGTTCAGTGAGTTTGGTTGATTATCCAAAATCTGGTTTGGTGAAAAGGGTTTTAAGGGGGGTTTAGAGTCATTACTTCACAGGGAAAAGGCATATAGAGATAAAAACTCGCAGTCAAATAAAAAGGCACCGTTGCCCTACCATAGGTTCTGTTGAGAGACAGTTTTAGTCCATGCCTGTGAAATATGGTCTTGAAATTCCATACTGTGTTTCCTCAACATCAGAAAACCTCGGGAGGTGTGAGCGCTTGCATAAAACCAATATCGGATCCAGTTGTTCTCTCACCTTGAAGCTTCAGAAAGTCCAACCAGGTGGTTTCAGCCACACATATACAGCCATAAAAAGAGAGAGGGAGAGAGAGAGAGAGATTTTTCAAATTTGATGGGACAGCCAGGGATTGGGGTTAGAGTGAAGGGGTTACGGTTAACTTTCCTTTAAAGGGTGTCAAAAAGGGAACTAAATTGGGTGTCAGAAAGCAGTAAGAAGCTGAAATAAGTCAGGGTCTCCAGCTCCCAGGTGGGTGGGTGCTTGCTTTATACTTTTCAGACAATGTCCCTTTAAAAAGCCCTGCGTCTGGAAAGCCCATTAGACGTGCATATAAAATTTCCCTCCCGTGATTAATAGATGATGAGGACGGGTTGGTCGAAGGGTACCAACATGTGGACGGCTTGGGGCTCCTCCTCCTGCGGGCTCACGTTTCACTCCATAAACTTGCCACTCTTTCCCACCTATGTGTTTAAAAAGGAGGAGGAGGAGGTCTCGCTTGTCAAGAACTCCTCAGAAGAGTTGTGAAAACAACCAGCCGAAGGAGGGAGTCACACAGTTGCAGATGCAGCTCCCACGCTGAGCCACGAGACAGTCAGATTCTTCAGGGAGAGGAGTGTGAGAGAGTGTGTGTGAGCAGAAACGCCGGAGGACGTCACTTACACTCCCACAGAGAGAGCGCTGTCACTGGAAGGTGTCTATCCTCACGCTTTCTGAGCTGTGGAAAACTCAGCAGCCCACTGACAGGAGCCAGCCTTCTGCAGCAGATGAAATGAGAGCTTCGATAAGTTACATGTAGTCAAAAGTGGCAAAGATAAAGGTTTCCAGAAGTACTTTGCATTTAAAGGAGGCTTTAAACTCAAGAAGATTGCTCCAAATTGAGAGGAACTCTTTCGCATCACCATGGATCAGCCAGCGAGCAGCTGCATGCGGAGCGCCCATCCTAGCAGCCCCATATGGGGGTGCATGAGGAACCCCCACTCCGGGGTCCCAGGAACCAATCTGCAGTCTCCGTACCAGCAAAGCCCATTCTCTCTGCACCAAAAACCCGAGTTCCTGGCTTACACGGACTTCTCCACCTCCTGCCTGGTGCCGAGCGCACCCCATGCGGCCTACCCACGGGACGACAGACTCTATCAAGATAGCCACGGTGGTTACCCGAGAGCTGACTGGCAGTTCAACCCCTGCGAGACCCGGTCGAGGTCAACTGACGCCTGCCCACCCATTTCGGCCACGGTAGTGGGCACTGGAGGTGGTGGAGGTTCTGAGCTGGAGAACGTGGGGGCCGAAAGGGTGCCGGGCAGCGTCCCACCAGGGTGTCTGGATGGAGAATACTCACCCCAGAGTGTAGCATCAGCTGACTCGGACAAGAAGTGCTCCAATAAGAGGAAGAGAGATGTCGCAGGTGAGTCTGAGTTTGCTGTGACGATGTTGAGGCAAGGCAAGTTTGTTGCACATTGCACTATTCATACACAAGGTCATTTGATTGCTTTATGGGAAAATATACATTAGTGGAATTAACGTTAAACACAAAGATTTTTTTTTACTGCACAATCATAAAATGCTATAAAGCAAACAGAGGGGGATTTAAAATGAAATATATAAAATCAATGTGAACAGTCAACCATCCAAGTCATTATCTACTTACTCACTAGAGATCGGAACATATAGGAAATTTTGAATATCTAACAAAAAGTGGTCCTATCTTTTGTATTCTGGTGTACATGATGATGATGGACAAAGGAAGAAAATAACAGGGAAGGTTTTAGTTTTTACCATCTCTGTCAAATAATCCTAACTTCCTCCAATGAAAAATTGATTCATATGATTCTAGATAAATATCTATAAACACAGCTTATAAACCAATGGTCAGGCCACATTTAAGCTTTTTGAATTCCCGTGCCAAGGTCAAGAATTTCTTCCTTGACCTGTATCGGACCTGGCAAAAACACGCATTCCTGCTATTTCCTTGCCAAACTGGGCTTACTGCAGCAGCACTCTCTGCAGACCGCTGTGTGAAAGGTGAGTAGGTGACAAGACCTCAGTGTTGGAGACGCTATTCAAGCTGCAGTTGCATCCTCTTATTGTCCAAGAGCTTACAACGAACCAGCTTTCATACGACTGGTTCTTTATGTCTTATATCCATGGGAAACGAAGCATTGTTTACAACCAATTCATCCACATTAAAAAGTAGCGCAAAACACGATACTGGGTGCTAGAGGGTAAACATTTCACCCTATCTGGTGCTTCAAATTTTATTTACTGCAGGTGACAAAATGAATGAAATAAGTCTCGCCACCGTTGGATGAAAATTAGACTCTTAAAATAGTTTTTCCATTTCACCGTAAAATATTATGGCTCCTTACAGAGCATACTTTACTTGAAGATAGGTGAAGTATTTACCTTTGAAACCAGAAGCAGTAGTAATGCTGTTGGATTTTAATGCCATTTACTCATCATATCTGATTTCACACATGCTAATAGGAGGTTGAAGTAACCGATAGGCGTGACGGACAAATTCCCAAAAGCATCAGGTGTAACTTTAGCAGCAAAAAACCAACAGGCCAAAGGAAACGTTTATTTAAACTGAATCTAAATGTGTGAAATTGCCCGTTCTCCAGTTTTCACTCTGGTAAAAATCAAACTTTGTCCACTGCTGTACATTCAAGTACCTAATTGTTGATGGTCTCACAATTTTGATTATTAGCAGGCATTTCCAGTTTTATTTAATATAAAACTGGAAATTAAAACTTAAAAAAAAGTTTTAATGACTGTTTTTAAGTTTAATCCTTTTAGAAAAGCCATATGATTACAGAATGGTTAGATTTGTTTCTTATGTCTGCTTCGTATAAATGGCATGTTCTCCTGTCTTTCCCATTTTTGGCTTTGAACAGCGGCTAAGAAAAATTACATGCTTAAAACCTATAGAAACAAGAAAAAATATATATACCAACTCGCGTGAATAAAAAATGCTTCAGTTTGATTCATATTATAGGATTTTTTAGCTGCAGCTGTAATTGTAGACCCACTAGTATTTTAATGTGTTATTTTCCTCTTGCTGAATAAACTCAAATATTTTTTTCTCCTAAGAATTAGCCCTTTTTTTAGCCTTTGAATTTTCTGATTTTTTTTCAAACACAAATGCATGTCTGTGTTTTGCTGTACATATATCCCAGGAAATGCAAAGTCTTGGATTGTGAATTAAAAGTTTGTTGACACCCACCAATGTAAAAAAGTATGAAATCAGCTAATTTAGATAAATTAATAGATGTATTAAAGGCATTTAGGCTTCTTGATTTGTTTAATCAAAACACAATAGACCACATATGACCAGAAAGACCAGATTTGTTGAGACATGGACCTTATATAACTGTATTCCTTGTTTATTTTTGAAGAGTTGTAATTTATGTGTCAGAAATTATTTATACCCAAGAAAAAAGGAGGATTGGATAGGCAATAAGAAAAGAATCATAGGGGCTTTGGTCCACTTCAAACATTTTTCAGTTAAAATGTCATTTTTTTCAGAAAAATGAAAAAGTGAAAACAAAGGGTGTCTGGTGGTGACAACGGTTTCACTTTAACAGTTTTTTCTTTTTTTTACCAGTTAAGCAAATGTACTCAAACTAAATGCTTGATTTTTTTGTTTTTTAATAATGCTTAGTGTATAATTCTACTAATGCAAGACAAAAATAATGTATATGGTCAACAAATATATATATATATATATATATATATATATATATATATATATATATATATATATATATATTCTTTTATTCTCTTAAAATAGAATGACAAGTCTCAACCTACTATAACTCAGCATATCTGATAAAAGCTACCCAACCAATGCATACAGCAGACATGAGGCTTATTGAAAAAAATGAGATGGGGGAGGATGAACCCCCACCCCCCCCCGTCCCCCCCCCCCACCCCCCCCCCCCCCCCAACCCCCCCCCCTCCC